GATGATTTGCTGTGTTTCACAGAACACCACAGAATTTTTCTTAAACACAGCAAACCACAGAAATCACCATTGGTCACCGCAGAATGTCACAGAATTCACATAATTCACGGAATTTTCTAAGAAAAAATAGCACAGAATATCACAGAATTTTAAAATATCACGCAGAATTTGGGTTTATTCACCGCAGAAAATCATCGTCCCTGGTACGAACGTTAAAATACTTTAACAGAAATACAGTATATCTGATACAGTATTGTCCAATTGAAATAAACTTATCATGTGATTATTTGATATAAATCATAACCATAAAAAAAAACGTCATTATAATTATATAAAGTAAATTTCCTAACTTGAGATCTTTGTATCTCGTACCACAACCTTAATCTGCCGTTTGTGGAATATTTTGAAATAGCATGAATACCGTATCTTTTCAATTCCGACCTAACGCATCTACACCACTTTCATTGCGTAGGTTTACTATCTGATATCAAAAATTTTGGGAGCTTATAGTTATTCAACTTTTTATACAATGGACTTGCAAAAACTATTAGAGGTGAGATGCGTGAAACGTAATTTCCGGGATTAAACCTTCCCTTGTCGGAAATGCGTATGTGAGAACCGTAATATATGGGATAAAAAACAATGTAAATCACTTTGTTCTTAAGCTTTAAATAAATGCATAGCCAACCTAAACCTTTTGGACTTTACAGACTTGTGGAATTAAAAAAAGCCTTAAATTATCAAATTGGTTGGGCGTTACCAAGTTACTTTGTTTAAAGCTTAACAAAAGTGACTTACTAACTACCTCAATTTGAAAATTTGTTGGGCATTACTAAGTTATTTTTGTTTAAACTTAACAAAGAATTTATTAGCTCACCTCATATTTTTATATATTTTTATAAAACCTACTTTTATATTTCATAAATAGTCTTTGTACTGCCCACCCCTCGACTCCGCCTTGGTCGCCGCTATTGTCAGTGAAGAAAATGACGTAAATGCATGTTTAAATCTACTCAGTTCATTAGCAAAGGAAACAAATTTAGTTCTTGACGCTGAACGAGAAAATTTTGGTGAATCAGAATCTTCAGAAAATTCCAGTAGCAACTATAAAAGCAGCACAAGTGAACGAGATTTCGGTGAAAATGGTGAGAATAAATGTGCTGCATTTAACTGTGTATGTAAGAGCTCTTTAAGGACTTGCTTGCTGTACCAATTTCAGGAAACGATGATTCTTATACTGGAGATGATTTCGATTCTGAAAGTCTTTGTTTTACCGGAGATGAAATTCCGTTGGACGAGGAAATTGAACGACTTAGTTTTGTTCACAATGAGGTTGATCAGAGTTCTATGGAATCACCTAAAGAATTTTTGAAGTCCTGCTTCCCCAAGTTTTCCGAAGATAGAATTGATGACTTGCTTAAGGAAAACGGTTATGATGTCGAAAGTGTTTCGGATATCATTCTAAGTGAAATATGTTTGGCAGAGCAGAAAAACTTTGTATATTATGATTCTTTCCCTTCAACATCGTCTACTTCAGCATTGCCTATTTCAGCAAGAGATGAAAGAGACAATTTCTTGGTGTCCGATTCGCGATCTAAACATCGAAAAAAGAAGAGACATCGAAAAGCGAAGCAACAAGGCATCGTCATATTTCAAAACAATGCACACCGGCCGACTCCACTATCATCTGTTCCTAATACGCCACCTGACGAAGTATTTAATGAAAATTTGAATAAATTAGTAAATATTTTCCCTGAACATAAGTCCCAAGTTCTGAAGAATGCACTCACGGCAACGGACGGTGAAATAAATAATGCTGTCGAATTGTTACTAAAAACTCCAAATGGGAGTAATGGCAAAAGTTTGAACCAATCACAATTAAATAGAGGTAATGGTAGCTGGACCTCTCACGATCTGTTTTTTTCAGGCAATACTCAATCACCGCCTACTTCGAAATCATTACCCACTTCAAAATCATTACCCACTTCAAAATCATTGTCCACTTCAAAACCATTGTCCACTTCAAAACCAATGCCTACTTCGAAATCAATGCCTACTCCTAAATCATTACCTACTCCTAAATCATTGCCTACTTCGAAATCGTTGCCTACTTCGAAATCGTTACCTACTTTGAAATCGTTGCCAAGTAGTTACAGTGACACGTTGGAAGATGATGAGGATGATCCAGAATATTGCCGCCAACAAGCACGTGAATGTATGAAGAAGCGTAATGAGGCCTTTAAAAGAGCGGCAAATGCATACCAAAAATCTAAAGGCTCGCGCAGCGGTGAAGGTGGTATTGCATTTTATTATTCAACTGAGGTAAATGTTTCTATTTACAAAAAACCTCAAGTCAACGACGTTGTTAATTTTTATAGTGGTAAAAGTTACTTTTTTGATATATTTAATATAAAAATGTCAAAAAGTAAATTTTACTAACACATGATTTAATTGGTTTTACTATATAGTTTATTATCCGGCGCGTAGTAATAGACCATATGTTTTTAATGCCCATACCTGTTTTTAGACTAGATGATCACCAATTTACCCAACATTAACCATATATTTTTAGTTGGTTGGTTGTCGATCCTTGAAATTTCATTGGCTAAACGAAACATCGTTAACGAATCTGATATCAAATTAAATTTGCCAAAAGTTCGTTAAATTTTATTAGTAAGTTTATTGCCTGCAAATAGCAATAATGAATTTACATAATAAGTGGTCAACGAAACTTAAAAAAATTAATCTTATATAATCAAATTCGTTAGCGATTTTTCATATGGTCGATTGCAGTTTCATATAAAATAGTATCAATGAAAACTCAAAGACCAATAACCAATCAGATGGACTTTTAATCATGCTTTCCTGAGATACTTGGGCTAAAGACGCGAACACAAAGTAACGTAATGTATATTAGTTCGTGTAACAGTGAATTACGTTCGTCAAATATCTCGAGAGCCTGTTTTGATGAAAAATTGGCCCAGCTTTAATTAGAAGTACAGAGAGGCTTACTTAGTAAAATTGGAAGAAACTATTTAATAAACTATATAGTATAACGAGTCAAATTATAGCTCCAGACAACGATGCTGTGCATTTACCTAGTTACTGGAACTAACATGTTTACGTTTTTTAATAGGGACGGAATTTTGATGCTGAAATGAAGAAATGGAATTTGCGAGCTGCAAGATCCATGGTTAGACGACAAAGGTATGATATGTAGCGAACATATAACGACAATTAAAAATTTCGAATAACTTAAAAGGTTTCATTTTATTTCAAGCACGAAGAAGGGAGATGCCAATCTTTTAGACCTTCATGGGTTAAGTGTTGAAGAAGCTTTGACCGTAGTAAAAGAAAAGTTAGACGAATGGTATCCAGAAGAAATGATAAGATATGGTAAAGTTAAATTAAATAGTCTTAAAATTCAAGATGTAATTTTTTGTTTGTTCAAATATAAATACAAATTTGGATACATTTTATCTCAGGCCAAAAAACACCTTTGCAACCTCTAAAAATTGTTACCGGGTTAGGTAATCATTCACCTAATGGTGTGTCAAAATTGCGAACAGCAATTAATCGCTTATTGAATAAGGGTAATTGGGATGTATCCGAATATAAAGGGTATGTAATGGTTAAGGGAGTAAAAGGGTACCAGTAGCAAATAACGCGATATGGGAAATCTATTGTTTCAACCACCATAAATCATTTTTTATTGACCACAGCAGTATTAGTAAATGAGTTAAGTTTTGAATTATGTAAATGCTTAGTAAGTTTAATAATAACAAAGATAATCTTGAATGTCGAAGATATTTTGAATATCATAAAGCAATACTGCCTATATGATTTTTTTTTCAAAATTTTCAAACGTAAAAGATTGTAAAGTATTCATTTATTAATGTTATAAAATTCTTTGCGCCCTCCAGTCCATCCATTCATTCTCAAAATCATCATCGATATCCTCGTCGTTATCATCATCAGATTCGTCTATATCTTTCTTAACGATATCAACCATTTTGTGCTCCCGATTCTCACGAACTTTTTTGGCAACTTCCTTTAATCGTTCTGATCTCTTAAAACACATTTCTTGTTCACGGTCTAACATTTCATCCCTATCACGTTGCAATTCTTCTTCATCCTCGTACGCGATTTGATTACTAACTTGTGTTTCTTTAGATATCAGCTTTTGAAATAGGATCCACTCTTCTTCAATTTCATTAGTGGTTTTTTCTTGTTGGCTCGACGATATTTTAGAAGAATTTTCAAAAAAATCAGCTGGCAGCGTACTATTATCCTTTGATAGTTTTTCATTAGTGGTTTTTTCTTGTTGGCTCGACGATGTTTTAGAAGAATTATCAAAAAAATCAGCCGGAAGCGTATTATTATCCTTTGATAGTTTTTCAGTTGTATCAGAAGACGGTACCGATTTATCATTGACTTTAATTCTCTTTACTTGAGTATCCTGATCATCTGATAAATCTTCATACTCAACTACATTTTTTATGTTATTGTCGTCTATATTACTACTACTGGTTATTTTTCCTTTCGTTCCTATAGATCTTTTTTTGGCATTCTCTTGCATTGTCGCTGAACAGAAGCTGAAGAATAACCCAAGAATACAGATATAGTTAATGCTAGCCAATCAAAATCTAATCATGTGCATCATCAAGATTAAAGCCGGTTTGATTATTTCAACTTGAGTCTTAACGTTAACATTACAGCATTATGACGATAAATTATTGTTATATATATATATATTTGTATACTCTAAAGGTTACTTAATTCATAATTTCTGCAAAAATAAAATTCTATTTCTATGCAAAATGAAATTTTAATTACTAGTGTACCGACGATTATGTTCATACCATAAAATAGCACCCCAATGACCGGAGGATAACAATAAAAAAAACCTCAAGTTCAGAATTATACATGCTTGTAAATTTTGATTTTCAAAATTAATCAGGTTTTGTCGAATCTGATAAATTGGCTAAGTTGAGTGACTTCACGCTACTGTATATTGCGCTTCTAAAAATTGTAATCACTATATCGATAATTAACAAAAGTAACGGAGTCACAGTTCGGCAATGTAAAATCGCAAGCGTATATAAATATGTGTGTTTTTTTTTATTGGTTAACGTTATATTCTTTACAGTGAGATTATTCTTCTAGTGGAATTTTCATTGAAACTACTAGAAACTGGATCATTGGAATCTCGGTATGCTCCAAATTCCAGTCAACAACACTGAATGGAATATTTTGAGGCAAACTTTAAGCGTTTGACTCATTTGACTCATGTGACTCAATTAATCTTCGTCTGGCAATTTGTCTGCGATTGAGACGCTGATGCTTATCAACATCGCTTTCGCGCTTCACCTGGACATTTTCTTCTGAGACAATAATTTCGATGTGACATGGGCTACTCATGTATGGATTGATGCGCTGTTATAATCACAATTTAATGTGATATAAAAGATTGGCATTAATGATATCTTAATTTCACATTAAATAAAAAATTCATAACAAGATCACTAACACCGTGAGCACGATAAGTTCTTCGTCTCTGTTTTGGAGCTTGGTTGACTTGAATATGAGAGATGACTAGATTGTCCAGATCCAATTGCTTGAGCTAAAACCGGAAATGTGAATTTTTGTAGGTTATATGAAAAATAAAATCATTTATTTAGGAATTTGTGATTTTACCTCAGCATTACTCCGGGCATTTTTTAAAAGTCCCAATAAAAAGTCGGCGCTTTTAACAGGCCAACGTCCTATTCAAGAAAAACCAGAATATAATTAACAATAAACTTTTTTTCAGTAATATATTTAGATTTCATCCATCCATCAATTAGTGGTGTAAAGCAGATAATTAACCATTCTAAGTCCGCATTTATTGATTTCAAATAGCGAAAATTAAGCGAAAAATCAGAGAATTCAACGTAAAACGACTAGTCTAACCTTGTGTAGCACCAAAAGCTTTAGCTTGAGCGCAACGACCAACGCCACCATTGAAGCGTCGGAAGGGAACAGCTTGCTTATGTTCCTTCACATCTTCCAGGTACTTAATAGCCTTGGACAGTTTTTTGCCAGAGATCGCCTTTGCAGTTTCGCGTGTATTTTTAAAATGAACACGAAGATATGAACCACGGGTCTTGGCAGCTATTTTCGAGATCAGAATGTCAGCACTTCAAGCTCAAATATGCGAAATAGGTTTGATGTCTAAATAAGCTCACACTTGGCAGGATTGGCTGGCTTAGCAGAGTATCTAGTCATGTCTGTAATTATTAAAAGGACTAAGATAACGGTCTTTATCAAAAAAAAATTTTTTTAATAGATTCAAATCTGAGGTTTTATTTTATTGGCTACAAACATGCAACCTGTTGATCAACATCGTTAGAATCTAACTGGCAGCAAAACTATCCCAGCGCAGGGCCGATGATTTTTTGTGGCGGGATAACGTGATCAATTTGAAGCGATTTTGAGAGTTAATTTGAATTTTATAAAAATTTGCGACGACGGATAAAATATTTTTTATTTGTACTGTAAAAAAGGTCTATATAAAAGTATGAAAAAAAACTATTGCTATATAAAATATATAAAAACCCCAAAGTTCTATATAAAAAATTTTTATAATAATTCAATCTCAGTTAAAATACATCATGGATAATTGTGATTCTTTAGATAGATCATTATCTAAAGAGTACTATATAAAAAAAAGCTAAGAGTGTTTTCAAAAATTCCTGGTCAGATTTAGGTTGGCATTTAGCCCTACTAGTTAATAAGTTTTATAGCAAAATTATCAGCTAAGCACTTTTCACTTAATGAATGGCTATGATTTTATTAGTGAAATTTTTAGTGATCTTGGGCAAAATTGATAATTTTCAGCCCTACCGACCAGGATTTTGATGCATTCCAACCAGGAATTTTGGAAACCTTTCATGAAATTATATGAAAACAAGCCAATTTATCGAATTTTGTAAAATTTTGTAGCAGAACTATACAAATTTTGTGATTTTTACAAAATTTTGTGACTTTTGTGATATTATGTAAAATACAACATATCATTAGCCCTGCTCCAGCATACCCAGTAAAAAAATATAGGCACATGACTAATTAATGAAATTGTTTAATAAAATTACAGTACTAATTGAGGATCATTCTAAAAATTTATAATTTTTTTTTAACTTCTAGCGAAGGTTTTTCAATAACCTCCTAATTAAATTTAGTGAATTTTTTTTATTTTAATTCTATTGTTATGTAGAATTAGAATAAAAATAATTCATGAATTTTGTCAAATAGTTATCAAGAAATTTTCACTTAAAGTTTTAAAAAATGAAATATCTTAAAAGAAATTATGTAAATTTTTTTTTTTCAAACTTGAAGATTTCTTGGCAACTACCTAATCAAATTAGGTGAAAATTTTTTTAGTAAATTTGTAGAACTAAAAAAAAAAGTGTTATTCAATTTGGTTAGGTAGTTGTAGAGAAAGCAATATCTAAAGTTAAATAAAAATTTAGCCGTAGCTTATCTCTTGTATGGATATTTGACTTTGAATAAAGTTTTTATAACAACTACCTATTCAAATTTGATAAAAATATTTGTATTTTAATTCTATTAATTTATAGAATTTAAATAAAAAAAGTTTCATTGAATTTAAATAGCTGCTTGTTAAGAAATATTTATTTAAAACTAAAAAAAATTGGCTGCAATTTTTTTTTTTAAGGATATCTAAAATTTGAATAAATATTACTTAGCACTTACCTAGTCAAATTCGATCAAAATTTGTTTATTTTAATTCTTTAAGTTCAATAGAATTAAAATAAAAAAAATTTAATCAAATTTGACCAGGTAGATGTTAAGTAATATTTGTTCAAATTTTGGATTTCTTTAAAAAAGAAGCTGTGGCCAATTTTTTATTTGTTTTTAGACAAAGATTTTTGATAACCACCTAACCAAATTTGATAACACTTTTTTTTTAAAATTCTACAAATTTGCTTAATTAAAATAAAAAAAATTTTACTCAATTTGACTAGGTGGTTGCCAAGAAATCTTTAAGTTTGAAAAAAAAACTTTTCTGATTTTTTTATTTTCTCAAAATATTCCAATTTTTTAAAATTTCAAGCAAAAATTTCTCAATAACTACTCAAACAAATTTGATGAATTTTTTTTTATTCTGATTTTGCAAGACTATAAAATTAAAATAAAAAAAATTCATCAAATTTAATTATGTAACTATTGAGAAACCTTTGCTAAAAGTTAAAAAAATTTAAAATAATTACTATTATAATTTTAGACAATAATATAATGTTTTAGATAATATAATATTTCATTGTAATTTTGTATATAATATAATGTTTAATTGCAATTTCGAGCCTATTTGTATAATTTAATAAATAGAGGTTTGATCAAGTGAATAATCAGATTTTTCTTACTTTATGTTTTTAAGTAAACATTAAAAATTGCATTAATCTGTTGTGTATAAAGAAAGAAAATTAATATTGTATTGCTATATAAAGTGCTGTGTACAAAGTTGCAAAGTATTGTGTATTATTATATGAAGAAATTTCTTGTGTAAAGTGTTATGCATAGAAGAAAAAGTTAAATAATAAAAGAACACAATAAAAAAATAAGTATGTAAATAAAAAAACTAATTTAAAGTAATTTTTAATAATCTAATTTCAATATGTATTAACTAACTTATTATTTATTTATTTAAAACATAATAAACAGTACTACTGATCAAATTTTTGTACTAGATATAAAATTTATAATGATAAATTAGAGTTTGCAGATTTGAATGACAACCAAAAACCTTGTAACTGTAATAATTGTTGAGCTCAAGTAAAAAATATAAAGAAAATAAAAAGCTTTTTAAAATCAATAATAATATACCAAATCTTATCTATCTATTAGAAAAAGAGATAATTGATCAAGCTCTTGAAGGCATACAAATTAAGGAGGAGTTAAATTGATTAGCATCGCATCTGAAGCTACACAGAAAGATATCCTTCTACACAGATGGGTCTTTGTCGAGCCCTACGGAGAACCCATAAAGAAGGCAAATGGGAATAGGATGGGTGGCCGCTATAGAAAATAAAGCCAAGAAGTGTGATAACTATATAGCAGAA